TAGAACATGCAGTGATTGGAGCAGTATAGTGAGTATGTAGAGCATTCAAAGCTATCTATTTGAAACAAACGCATGCCATTAAAGAAAATCAAGGGGGACTAAACAGTTTAACTCTCTGTACAAATTAGAGCAAACAAAAACTCAAACAATAGAAAGCCAAATCAGTTTTTAGGCAAAGATAACCATTGAACTGAACAGAACAAAGAACAGCAACCCAAAAACAGAGAGAAAGAGAAGAACAGAGCATCCATTTACAAGTAGAATTGTAGCACAAACAGCACAGAAACATGGCCACATACCCCAAAAACATAGACATTTCCCTGATAGTAACAAGCAGAATGCCCCCATCTCTCAGAAGGGGTAAACCCCATGGCCTTAGGATAGAGCCACATTGCCTTTTTCTTAGAAACCTCTCCACCAGCTCCAACAGAAGAACCCATGTCTTTTCTTCTCTGAAAAAACCTCCTCTCTTTCAGATATTAGAGGATTTTACCTCAACATAGTGCTTGACAATGAATCAAGGGAGAGAAAAAGAAGGCAGAGAGAGAAGAGAAACAAGGAGTCAAAAGACGACATGAACAAACCAAGTGATGTATCAACTATCAGTGTCAATAGACATGAAAAGATGGGAGCTTTCAAATCCAAATCACTGTGGCACCCAACAACAACAGGAGCTTGTGATGAGATGAGAACAACATTTTCTTTTTCTTTATTCTTTTTTTCCTCATTACATAAGAAAAAATAAAGAAAAAAGAAAAAAAAAAACCCTTTTTTTTCTCTTAGGCATTACAACGAACACTTGATGTGCAAAAGTGTTGGGGAACTGAGTAGACGTATAAATAAGCATTAGAATTCAAAGATAAGGTGTTAAGAACAAGCAAGTGATGTAATATCAACTGTAGAAAGATAAAGGGACAAATATGCAAACAGAGAGATCACATTACTTTAATTTTTCTTTCACTTTTCATAAAATTTCTATGAAAATGATGAAGTGGGTGTTTTGGGTCTTGGGGGTTTGAGATTATTTGGGGGAAAAGAAAAGCTTTTTACCATTTTTTCCCCCTCTTCTTTTGTATTCGATTTTTGTTTCGCCTTCGCCCTCCCGTGCACTCGTCTTAGGGGGGGCCGATCCCGTGACTAAGATAATCATACAACAGCTTCTCGTGGAGCCTCCAACAAATCATCAGGTCCGCCAGAGAATTGAGTGAACAGAAAAGGAAGGACTTTCACCAACTAATATCTTTGAAGGAGTATTGAGGGGCGGAATGACAAATGAACTTTTTTCAAGCTCGGGTCGAAGAGCTAAAGCAAAACGTCGTCGAGCTTGTGAATCGTCGTTCCATTCTAGTGGATGAAGTTCTTCCCTTTAAGTTGAATCGGGTTTAGATTTTTTTAAAACTGATCTCAATTGTTAAGTCATAAATTTTTGTAATATAAACAACATTTATTAAATAATGAACTCAACTCAACTATATATTTGTTGGAATGAGTTGAGTTCGTTATTCACGCAATTTATTTAATTTTTTAAAATAAAAAATAAAATATCAATTTGTATAACATTTATTAATTTATTTTTAAATATTTAATTAAGATTTTACACTCAATTTCAATTTCATAAATTAAATAAAAATTCTCATTTTTCCTATAAAATAAAAAAAAATTAATTTGATTAATTAAATATTTTTTTTATAAAAGAAAAAAAAAGGTCAAAATGCGGTGATTTTGAGTGAATGAAAGATGGAGAGAGAGAGAGAAATGCACGCGACAAACACGGGAGCATTTTCATAGGTGAAATGACGATTATGCCCTCCATCCTTCACGTGATTTCTCTCTCCTCTTTTTTTTATTGTAACTTGAAATTTTATCTTTCTCTCTCTTCTTTTTATTTATTATTATTATTATTATTTTCTTTGATCTTTCTTTTCGATTAAAGGAGCTCTAAAGCAACTCCCTCCATTTTTTTTTCCTTTCAAAGATTCAAACTTTTTGTAAAGGTGATAAGGTAGTTTGACTTTATGAGGTCGCTTACATGTGGCTTAGGAGTCGGGTCGTGCCAAAGGGACTTAGGGATAATTGTACTTATTTAACAGCTGGAGTCGAGTCCTATCAAAGAGACTTAAGTTGGAGTCGAGTCCTAATACAGAGACTTAGGGTTTAGTCGTACTCACTAAATACCTGGAATCGAGTCCTAGTAAAAAGACTTAGGGTTAATCGTATTTATTTTAACAGCTGGAGTCGAGTCCTTGCAAAGAGTCTTAGGGAGTCGTACTTAATTAGCAACTGGAGTCGAGTCCTATCAAAGAGACTTAGGGCTAGCCGTACTTATTTAACCGTTGGAGTCCAGTCCTAGCAAAGAGACTTAGGGCTAGTCGTACTTATATAACAACTGGAGTCGAGAGTCCTAGCAAAGAAACTTAGAGCTACCGTACTTATTTAACAGCTGGAGTTGAGTCCTACCAAAGAGACTTAGGGTTAGCTGTGCTTATTTAACAGTTGGAGCCGAGACCTACCAAAGAGACATAGGGTTAGCCGTACTTATTTAACCATTGGAGTTGAGTCCTACCAAGGAGACTTATGGTTAGCCGTAATTATTTAACAGTTGGAGTTGAGTCCTACCAAAGAGACTTAGGATTAGTCGTACTTATTTAACAGCTGGAGTCGAATCTTATCAAAGAGACTTAAGGCTAGTTGTACTTATTTAACAGTTGGAGTTGAGTCTTACCAAAGAGACTTAGGGTTAACGTACTTATTTAACAGTTGGAGTCGAGTCTTATCAAAGAGACTTAGGGTTAGTCGTACTTATTTAACAACCGGAGTCAAGTCCTAGCAAAGAGACTTAGAGGGTCAGCCGTAATTATTTAACAGCTGGAGTCGAATCCTATCAAAGAGACTTGGGGTCGGTCGCATTTAACGTAGAGGGTCAGCCGTAATTATTTAACAGCTGGAGTCGAATCCTATCAAAGAGACTTGGGGTCGGTCGCATTTAACGGTTGGAGTCAAGTCCTAGCAAAGAGACTTTATATATCATATTTATCTCTAAACATTTTGGATCTCGAAATTTTCAAAACATTGATTTTAGTACCTTGGATGTTGTTTTCTTTTGGTCGTTATTTTAGTATGACATCAAATGTTGTCTAAATTAAACACTATGGATAACACGCCTATCAATGTGAATATTAATGTATTAATATAAATATGTAATAGCTCCAAAGAAATAAACCGCTACTTATAATACATATATATACATATGTGTGTATGCATGCATATATATATTGTTAGACGAACACGACTCTCTACAATGGTACGATATTGTCCACTTTGAGCATAAGCTCTCATAGCTTTGCTTTGGATTTCCCCAAAAGACCTCATACAGTTAGTATTTCTCACTTATAAACTCATGATCATTCTCTAAATTAGCCGATGTGGGACTTTCATCATCCAACATATATATCCAATTTGGTTTAGGTTAGGTTGAACCGACCAAAAAATCAATTTGTGGATTGAACATTAGTTTTTCGGTTCTCCAAAAGTTCAATCTAACCCAAATGAAAAAAACTAATTGTTCAGGCTTTCGGGTCATATCGAGTCATTTGAATACCTTTAGATCGAGCACTAGTCTTTCGATTCTTTAAAAGTTCAACCTAACTCAAATAGAAAAAAAAGCTAACCCTTCAAACTACCGAGTCATATCGAGTCGTTTGAACAACTTTAGATCGAACACTAGTTTTTCGTTTCTCTAGAAGTTCAACCTAACCCAAATAGAAAAAAAGCTAACCCTTCAGACTACTGGGTCATATCGAGTCATTTGAACATCTTTAGATCGAACAATAGTTTTTCGATTCGATAAAAGTTCAACCTAACCCAAGAAAAAAAAGCTAACCCTTCAAACTATCAGGTCATACCGGGATATCGGGCCATTTCAATACCTTTAGTTATATATATATATATATATATATATATATATATATATATATATATATATATATATATATAA